TCATCCCAGGAACCTGTTTTATGAAGCATTTTCTAGTCCTGGGGGAATTCTGCAAGTGCTGCATTTGGAGCCACAGTAAAATTGCAGAATCCCCCAAGGACTAATTTTCATCATAGAACAGCTGAGCACTCTGCCTCATTGCTGACGTTCAGCTGCACCCCCTGCACACTCATTTCCAACTGTAAACTTCCCATTTCATTGATGAAAGTACCTTGGTTTATGCTTTCTCTCTATCCTCTTACTTCCCCCTCCACAAAGGGCGTCAGCAGGAGATAATGAAGAACTAAGCTTTCTGCTTTTCCCTGCCAAGCATTGGTAAACTTCTCAGCAGCCAGCCAGGAGCCCCAAGGCATCATGGAGTCAAGGCTCTTAGATCTGTCAGGGCGGGGTAATTCTATTTTTCCGTCCTACCTCTAGGGGATCTTCAACTCCCCTGCTGCTCTGCTAGTGCCAGTCTGCTTAATCTGAGTCTGTTTGAAGAAGAAAGCAACAGAGAAAAGAAAAGCTGGTAGGACAGACATGTTGTTTCCAGGCAGCTGCTTCTTGGGATCTCTGTGAAAATCAAAATCAAAATCAAAGCTTCCTCCATTTTCAAATTATGGTACACCTCTCTCCAAATAGCCAGCCAGCCTGGCAATTAGCCAGTTAGAGGAGATAAAGTCATTTTAAGCAAGGAAGGCTGCACGCTTCATTGTCATGGGAGCAATGCTCTGCCAGTCAGATGGCTGGAACCTGCATTTCTTACTGGCTTTGGGATGTTCTATATCCATGGTGTCCAACATGCTAACCACTAGCCACATGTGGCTACTTGGCTGATTGAGTGTGGCTAGTTGACTAAAGCAGTACTCTTCAGATCTGGTTAGACACCAGGGTTATATATAGTACCATGAACAACAGACACATGGCTGAGAGGGATTTCTACATGTATAGGCTTATTTTCTTCTCGTTTAAAAAACAACAAATAGTTCTGCAGCACCTTCGAGACTAACAAAATACATTGTTAGAGGTGCAATTCTGTAGCGTGGCATTTACTAAACAGAAACACTGCAGATGATGCTGAAGTCAGGAGCAGAAACTCAGTGCAATGGGGTTGTGAGAGACTGTGAGCAGGATGGTCTTGTATACACAATCATTTGATTTCAATTTCTAGAGACAAACTATAAACCAGTGGTCTAGTTGTCAGACTGGGTGTCCATCACAACTCATGGGCTCAATTCCTGCAGTCACCACTTTGCTTTGTGATCTCGTCTTGCACTTGGCAGTGCTTCACTTGTAGCAATTGCTACAGTGCCAGTTCTCTCCGCTAGTGTGCATGCACAGTCTCTTCTCACAGAGCACGTTTTAGAAGTGCCACTGGCCTTCACTGCTCCTGTTCAAAGGAACAACAATCCCATCAGGACAACAGTTGCATCGCTTTCCTCTCACACGAGTCCTGAACTGGCTGCGATAAACTGGCTAGCAGATCTAGGGACTCAGCAGCTGTTTGGGGACAGTACATCTGCTCATATGCCTACCTCCAGCAGAGCAGCATCTCGGTGAATTGCCATTGGTGAACCAGAAATTCCAGGAGTGTTCTATAAATATTTGAATAGATTCCTGATGGCAGGTTTACTATTCATTTTGGGAATCTTGAATGACATTATATTAAGATCATACATGGACAAAGACCGCTGGCCAAAAAATGGCCAATTCCAGATGTCCCAGAGGGAGGGATCGCAACAGGTAATCCTCATGTGATCCTTCCCCTGTCACCCACCTCCAGAGAAACAGAGGCTAGGGACACCATTCCTACCCATCCTGGCTAACAGCCATTGATAGACCTAACCTCCATTAACCTATCTAGCTCTTTTTTTAAACCTGTCTTCACCACATCCTCTGGCAAGGAGTTCCATGGGTTGACCGTGCGCTGAGTGAAGAAAAACTTCCTTTTGTTTTAAACCTGCTGCATATTAATTTCATTTGGTGATCCCTAGTTCTTATAGTGTGGGAATAAGTAAATAACTTTTCCTTATTCACTTTTTCCACATCAGTCATGATTGTATAGACCTCTATCATACCCTGCCTTAAGATCCTCTTTTCTAAGCTGAAAAGTCCAAGTCTTTTTAATCTCTCTTCATATTGGATCTATTCCAAACCTCTAATCATTTTGGTTGCTCTTTTCTGAACCTTTTCCAATGCCAATATATCTTTTTTGAGATGAGATGACCGCTTCTGTATGCACTATTCAAAACATAAGCTATTCCTTTGTAATCTCTCAGACGCCAACAGTGGGTAACCCTATTCCTTTGCTAAAGCTTTAACAAACTGAGGATCTGATCCTGCAAATACTGAAGCGCAGTAGAAACGACTTAGGGAAGTTAGGAGTCTGAGTTAACTATAGTGTGTGCAGGATTGGTCCCCCAGTTTCCAGCCAGTGGTCAGTAATATCTATTCATTTATATTCTGTCACCTTGTATGCATCTTCCTGGAGTCTGTAAAGCTCCTTTCTCTCAGTTGACCACCATTTGGCATGATTTAGCATCTTTGTGGTTTGATATCCATACGTATCATGCCTCATACACATTTCTGTGTCACATTAGTCATTTTAAATCAGCAAGACAATTTTAAGATACTATTTTAGCTAACAGTACTTCCTCAGGGTATATCTATACTACAAAGTTAATTCGAACTAACAGCTGTTAGTTCAAATTAACTTTAATAGGGGCTACACATACAAACAGCTAGTTCAAATTTAAATTGAACTAGCAGAGCGCTCAATTTGAACTAGGTAAGCCTCATTCTACGAGGAGTAACGCCTAGTTCGAATTAAGTAGTTCGAATTAAGGGCTGTGTAGCCACTTAATTCGAACTAGTGGGAGGCTAGCCCTTCCCAGGTTGCCCTGGTGGCCACTCTGGGCCAAACCAGGGAAACTCTTCTGCCCCCCTCCCGGCCCTGGACCCCTTAAAGGGGCACAGACTGGCTACAGTGCTCGTGCCAGTTGCAATCCTGCCAGCACCCAGCCAGCAGACCCTGCACCTGGCACAGCATGAGACAGCCACCCGCTTCCACCCAGCCCTCCCCCTCTTCCCAGGACCAGGCTGGTGGCTCCCAGGAGCCTGCCCGGGGCCGTAAGAGGCAGGCGCCCGCCTGGTCTAGTGCAGAGAACGTGGCCCTCATCGAGGTTTGGGGGGAGGCCTCCAACATCCACAATCTCCTCACTAGCACAGGAATGCGGCCGTCTAAGGCAGGATAGCTGCCATCCTGGCCACCGAAGGCCACATGCGAACCCAGGAGCAGGTTTGCATGAAAAATCAAAGTGAGACTCCTGACCCTGAGCTAAGAACATAAGAATGGCCGTACTGGGTCAGATCAAAGGTCCATTTAGCCCAGTAGCCTGTCTGCCGACAGCGGCCAACACCAGGTACCCTGGAGGGGATGGACCGAAGACAATGACCAAGTGATTTGTCTCGTGTCATCCATCTCCATCCATCCTTCCACAAACAGAGGCCAGGGACACCGTTCCTACCCCTGTGGCTAATAGCACTCCATGGACTCAACCTCCATGAATTTATTTAACTTCTCTTTAAACTCTGTGATAGTTCTACCCTTCACAGCCTTCCACAGGTTCACTATGTGCCCAGAAGAAGAACATTCGCTTTTTAGTTTTAAACCTGCTGCCCATTAATTTCATTTGGTGTCCTCTAGTCCTTATATTATGGGAACTAATGAAGAACTTTTCTTTATTCAACCTCTCCACACCACTCATGATTTTATATACCTCTATCATATCCCCCCTCAGTCTCCTCTTTTCTAAGCTGAAAAGTCCCAGTCTCTTTAGCCTCTCTTCATAGGGGACCTGTTCCAAACCCCTAATCATTTTATGTCTCAGCATCCAACGCCCACCCCCCGGCGGTTGTCCTTTTCTGAATCCTTTCCAAGGCCAAAATATTTCTTTTGAGGTGAGGAGACCTCCTGTAAACAGTACTGAAGATATGGCATAACATAGTTTTATACTTCCCCTCCTCCTTCTTCCCTGGCTTCCCCCTTCCAGCTCCCTCCTCCCAGGTTTCTCCCACCTTCTCTCTTCCCTGTCTCCCCAGAGGTTAATCTGCCCCCTCTCCCCCGCACAGTTTTGTTAAATAAAGAGAGTTTCTATTTTTGAACACGTGTCCTTTATTTTTTACATCAGGAAGGGTGGCTAGGGAGGGTAAGTGGAAGGAGGTGAGGGAGGAATGGGGCACGAGCCCCCGATGGGGAGGACTGGGGTGGCTCTGTGGGCTCCTCGGGGTGGAAGCTCTCCTGCAGGGCCTCCTGGATCCTGACAGCCCCCCGATTGACACCCCCCCCCCGGATGGCAGCCTGCGGCAAGTGCAGCTGGGCTGATGGCCGAGTGCTGTGATGTGCCGAGTGTGGGAACTCAGGGCACTCTAAGACAGGACTGCTTTGCTGTCCCTCATCGAGTTAGACAAGCAAGCAGGGAACCCTGAGAACTGTCTGTCCGGGGTGGGGGTTGGGTCCCTTTAAGCACAGCCCTTGGCTAGCCTGAGGCAGCAGCTCCACACTCTACGTCCTAACCTGATGCCCTGCCCGCACTGGTTCCGGCCAGACTTAACTCCGGTTCAGGATCCACTCAATGTGGATGTGCTATTTCGAATTAGCAAAATGCTAATTCGAATTAGTTTTTAGGTCTAGATGCACTAGTTCGAATTAGCTTAGTTCGAATTAACTAATTTGAATTGTTAGTTCGAATTAGTGCTGTAGTGTAGACATACCCTCAGTGAAGTTTGAAAAAGTATGCAAGAGCTAGCCATCAGATCCCTCTGACACAGCAATCAACCATGGTTCCCAGCTCCAACCTGGGAACACCGTGGAAAACAGTGCAAAGGATTCTGAGATGTATCCAAGCAAGAACTAAGGCTGAAGGTGGGGTTATAATTTCAAAGCAGCTGGAAGCCTTCCAAATAGCATATTATACGTATCAGAAGCCATGGAACAAGTAAAACAGCTGAACAAGTAATAGATTGAAATGGCAACCCAGGACAGAAGCATCATTTTATTAATTTCTTTTAAAAAATGACAACAAAGTTACCACACTATTTTTAAAAAAGGGTAAAATAGCAAGATGCTGAAAATAAAACCACAAAGGAAGCATACAAGGCTAGTCAGTATAAAATAGCTTTACAGTTTAAATGCTCGGCAAATCTGTACCAGTCATGTAAATCAAACAGCGCTTGATACCGCCTTTAAATGCAAAATCCTTTTATCACTTGTTTCATCAGAGCACTGGATAAGAAAACACAATTATTTAAAAAAGTAACACTTTTAAGATAACATTACAAATATGATATTGCTATAGGTACTGGTAAAATGTTTTTATTTAAACAGACAGTGCCAGGCTAAATAGCAGAATTCAGAACTCTGCATAATTCCTTTTTAAATGATACAAATCTTTGGGTGTTAGTGAAATTAAAACTAGCTATGTGTTCCCTGGTATTGCCTGGCTGACAGCCCATCTATTGTAAGCTCAGACTGTATTATTGGGGCTTAAAAGGGGATAAGGTGAGGTGACTGCTAGTAACAGTATATTGAAGGTTCTGTGACCTATCCAGAGAATGCTCTTCCTGTTCAGTTCCTTCTGAGGGTTTCATTATACTTACAATAAGCCAAGACTTTTAAATTTGGGTGCTTAGGTTATTATCTGTCCCTGAGGTGCCGAGCACCCAAAGCTTCCATTGAAATCAACACACACTATGAGCACACTCCTTAGATCTCGTATTTGAAAATTCCAACAGATGGGCATGGAAGGCGGGGGCATGGAAGAGGGAGGCAGGCGAGGGGAGACCTATCTTTTCACAGAGGACTGCAATCCCTGTTTGCTAAAGACTGGAGATTGAAACTGGACAGTAGTAGTTAAGGCATTAACTACTGACAGTCTTTCAAATGAGCATCATCTAGAGATCGGTACTCCTCTTTCCAGAGACTGTCTCCCATCCTTCTCCCCACCAGAAAGCAATCTCCCATTTACATCCTCAGTTACAACCATGATCACCAGCTGTCCACTCCAGGGCTCCCTAGCCATGTTGGACAATAATCTCAAACATGACTTGGCCAAAATACATGGTTGAAGCCAAGCATCTTTGGTCACTCTGAGGAAGCTGGGGCTATAAACCTTGTTGAGAGGTTTAGCCACTGTAAAAAGACTCAGGTCAGGTCCATAGAACAACTTCATTTGCAGCCTGTCTCAGCATCCAACGCCCGCCCCCCGGCGTGGCTTTTACTTCTGATTCTGTAACACCAGGAAGCAAGGCCTGATCAAAGCACAGAGCATCCAAATACTCCATGGAGAGGGAACTGGACTGCACCAAAATCTGATCTCTGGCTTTCTATTAAAAAAATCAACACCAGGAAAAAGGAAGCTGGGCTAAAGCAGCAGCAAGTAAGTTTTACCTTGCAAGCTCTCTCACCTGATAAAAAAATCCATATGCTCCATCAGCCACCTGGGTTCCCTCCCTTTTCAGCACACCCAGTTAATTGTACCCTCCTCCGGTGTGCGGGAGGCCTGAGATCAGCAGTCCCTTTAGTCAGTGAGGTGTTCTAATCCCCCAAGCCCGTGCATGAGACTGTGCAGGGAAGGGAGCGATGCTGTTTCATTAGGGTGTCTCCTGTTAAAATTCACCTTTAAAAGCTGTTGCGGAGGGAAAGGGTTAATCAAACATATCCTCAAACATACGCTGCCCCATGGCTATGTACAGTTCCTTCTCCTCCGGGGTCATTTGGGCCACCAACTCAGGCCGCTGGCTCACTTGACTATAAGAGAATGGACGTCCAGCCACCATGACAGTGGGGTCCTCTGCCACCACTTCAAACTCCTCCTCATCTTCATCCTCGAGCCCATACAGCGAAGCTGTGGTAGCAGGCAGGCGGGGTGGGGTTTCCTCTTCTGATTCGCTGGTATCGCTCTCCGAGTCGCTCGCATTGGGGTTGGCTAAGGGAGCAGCCCCCCCCACACCAGCTGCAGAGACAGAGGGGGTTTTCTTCTCATGGATAAGCAGAGCGCGCATCACCTCCTCGTTATTGTCTGGGGCCGCCCGGCCCTCCTCCCGCTCCTGAAATGTATCCATGTCTTGACCACCTGCAAGAAAGCATGGAAGAATGCTAGGTAAGTAGTCATATCACTACATCATGGAGGCCATTAAGGATGGAGCATGATCTAATGGTGAGGGCAGCCTGCTACTGGGGTGGAGGTCAAATCTCCTCAGTTCTAGTCTCAGCTCTGTCGCTGCTTGTGGGGCCTGGGGCAAGTTGCTTCCTTTCTCCACATCTTCCTCCCTTCGCCCATCTTAAAGTGGAGAGAGTTGGTATTCTTCAGAGCAGGGCGAGGCTAACCGTGTGCTAACTGCTGACAGACTGTGAAAGGTGTGTAGCCATACTGGTTCCCAACCCCTAGGGTAGATGGGGGACACCCCCTGGCAAGAGAACAGCAAGTTGATGTGTATCAGAGAATGCAGCAAGAACAGGTCAATTCCAACCCTACTGATGATTTTCCGCTCCCCTCTGATTGACCCATAAAGCCAGCCTCCATCACCTACTCATTCTTTTTCAAACAAGCCCCTTTGTGCTTTCTCCCTGGCAGCCCACATGCTTGGGAGCAACTCCCCATGAACATCCACCAAGCTCCCTCACTATCCAACCCCTCAGATGCTATCTCAAAAACTCCCCATCTGCTGATTCCTGCCTTATATTAAGCTCCCTGGGGCAGGGACTGCCATGCAGTTCTGTGCTTGGTATAGCACCTAGCACAATGGGGCCCTGATGCTACTATAATACAAATAACGGTATTTGGAAGAGGCTCCACAGAGGGGTATCAGCCAAGCAAGTAACTTTGTACAGTGCCTAGCACAATGAAGGATGGACATTTTCCTCCAGAGTAAGGAGCCACAAGAAAGCTCGCTGGAAAGTAATCTGCAGGCTCTGAAGCTGGACTTCCAAATACCAGTTCTGTGCGGCTAATGAAGCCATCATGCAGAAACCAGCTGCAACTGAAACGATTCAGACAACAAATGGTAATTACAAGAAGTCTCAGTGCAGAGAAGGTGGCTATGGGAGGGCTGGCACTTGGGCCCAGGGCTATTTGGCAAACCACTTCTCCAATCGCATCCTTGCGCAGAGTGCAGTGGTGTGTCAAATGAGGTGCCATGGCAGGCAGTGCAAAGGATCCTAGGCTGTATCTGAGCTCCAAAGGCACAGTTACAAACCAATGAACAAGAAGAGGGTCCCCATTTGGTGAAAGAGGAATGGGTGGGCAGAATCTCCATTTTTGGCATCTCAGGACGGGTCTGTTTGCTAGAAAGCACTGTTTCAGCACTGCTCTGGAAGTGCCTCCTTTAACACAGTTCACCATAGGGGGCCATAAACAAACTATGCTCACTGGGGCTCCATGGAAACTTTTTGGTCACTACGGAGAAAAGCAGAGGGGTTTTTTTTTTTTTGGTATGTTAATAAACATAAATGTTTAGCCTCTGGCCTTTAATTCAGATGAAATATGGATAAATATAACAAGGAGAAGTGTCCTGGAACCTTGCACCTGGTCTGCAGGAAGAGAAAGTTTATTACAGGAACATGGTGTTATTCAATAAAATGAATCCTGCATGAACAGGGAACACAAAAGGGCTGATAGTTTTCACGCCAACTTCTTCTTGGTGGCATGGGCTCCTTCAATCTGAGACTTGTTTCTGAGCTTTATTTCACTGGTAGGGAATTATAGTGTCCCAGGTGAGAGACAGACAGACACATACTGAAGTGGCATTTTCTGTACTGTAGTGTCCCAGGTGAGAGACAGACAGACACACACTGAAGTGGCATTTTCTGTACTCGGAAAGGGCTGCATGTCTGTTAAGTAGTATTTGCTGTACAATAGCTGGAAAAATTTGATAGTGTTTGAGTAAGCAGCGTGTCTACAGTTCAAGGATTCAAAACCACCATTCTATTAAAAAGAAGGCTTTCTGAGCTCTTCTGCATAAGGCTCTTGCCAGATTCCTGTACTTGGAAAGAGCATTGAGAGTCCACCCAACACTAATAAACCTGCAGGCATCCTGCAAAGATGTTCTTCTTTGTGCTGGGTTTTAGGGTTCTGAAAATAAACCAACACTTTTGCTTTGGGAGTTTGGTTCCGTTTTCTGATACACTGCCTGTTTCCTTTGATGCTCCTCACACAGCTCATGTGATTGTGTATTTCAGTTGAATCGGCCTGTTAAAAATCTAAACTAGTCTCCATTTATTATTTCTTTATTGTGGGATTTTAATAAACTTTTCAAAACAGGGACAGTCTGCTACTCTGTTTGCACAAAGCTCAGCACAATAGGCCCAAGATCTTGACTGGGGTCTTTTGAGGATGCAAATAATACAAACAATAAAAGCAAAAACTGAAAAATAAAAGGCTGGTGATGGTTGACAGTCTCAGAAGGAAGCAATAACGAATAACCCACTATAGTGACTGATTTTACACTCTAAAGGTGCGGTTCTGGTGCATTGCTCTCTGCATACAAATAGGAGTCTTGAAAATACAGACAACTGGTGACAGAAGGGGAAAGTGGATATAAGAACATTGCATCTCCACTAATAGCTGATCTGATGAGCCTTGTGCTTAGCACACATACAAATCTGAGTTTCATTTTCCATCCATTTGGTAACAAGAAGCTGAAAAATCTTTCATCCAAACCCAAACAAGCCAGAATGGGACAGAACATCTGTCTCTGAAGCTCCCAGAAAAGCTAAAGAACAATTAACATTTTAGTAACCTAATCATAACACTGTGGGCAACTCAGCTTTACTGACATGGGTTTCAATGAAGTGCCTGGTACATCTTGTTCTTTTACACCTGCCTGGCTTCTAAAGGCATTACAAAGGCAGACGAAAGATGTAACAGAATAGCAGGTAAGTGCTAGGATGCTGGGAGCAGCAGCTCTAGATAGAAAGTAGAAATGTAAAATCCCAGTGAATCAGTTAACCAGTTAATCCTCAGGTTTAACTGGTTAAACCCACATTTCTCAAACTGTGGATCCCGACCCCCACGGGTGGGACGCGAGCAACTTAGAGGGGGGTCGCAGTATCACAAAGTTTGAGAACCCCTGGGTTAACCAATTAAGAAGGATCCCGTTCCTGCAGCTGCCAGTCTCTGGTGCATGGGGGAGGAGGGAAGCGGGCGAGAGTAGAAAGGATCCCGTTCCTGCAGCTGCCAGTCCCTGGTGCATGGGGAAGGGGGGAAGCGGGCGAGAGTAGGAGCTGGCAGCCCAGTGCACAGAGGGGCCAGCTTCTGCTCCTGGCTGGCCCTTGCTCTCCTGGTCTGGCTCCTGACCCCTGGGAGGCTAGAGCAGCCCTCCACTCACAACAGGCCAGGGGCTTCTCCCAGGTGCTGATTAACCAGTACCTGGTAAGCATCACCTGATTAGGCCGCTCCCGGAAACCTGTTACCCATTCACAACCCTAACAGAAAAGGGGCAAAAATATTCTCCCGTCAGATTATGCGGCACTTCTCCCCTTTAGCTTTCTTACCATCTTTGATCTCGTCTGGGTCATAAACCCCCTGCACCGTGCTTTCCCGGAGCCAAATTGGCCTCTCTCTGGCTGGTTTCCCTTCATTCATTGGCCGATTAAGATCCTCCTGGTCTTCCATGCTGATGACAACATTCTGGGTGTACAAGTCTTCATATGATGGTCCTTTTGTAGTCCATGCTTCCCGATGGTGTCCACCTGCTAGGCCAGCTGCTCCTGCAGCTGCAGCAGCACGTTCCTTGCTAGAACAGCCACAGGGTTTAAAAAAAAAAAAAGGATTCTGTTCAGAAATAGTCCTTTCAGGAATAACAGACATTTCCTGTTGTAATTTTTAAAAGAGCCCAAGGATTAAGCCACATAGTGCCTTTTAAAATTAATTATCTCCTATGATATGCTTAGAGAATCTCAACCCCCTTTCTTAACCATTTTGCCAAGAACTTCTAGACGAGTGGTCTCTAACCTTTTTATGCCCAAGAACACTCTCTAAAATTTAAGTGATTCTATCCTATCCCTACCCCAGCTTAGGGTGCAGGAGGGGGCAAGGGGTTCTAGCTGTGGGAGGAGGCAGGGAATTGGGGTGCAGCCTCTTGCTGGGTGGCACTTACCATGGGTGGCTCCTGGTTGGTGGCGCAGTGAGGCGAAAGCAGGCTCCCCATGTCCTGTCCTCACAACGCTCCCAGAAGGGGCCAAAGAGTCCCTGTGGCCTTGGTGCTGTGGAGCAGGAGGTACATGGTTCCATGTGCTGCCCCTCTTTGCTGGCACCAACCCTTCAGCTCGCATTGGTCACGGTCCCCTACTTCTGGCCCATGGGTCCTGCAGGAATGGTGCCTACAGGCAGGAGCAGCGCACCAAGTCTCCTGTCCCTTCCTCCACACATACACATGGCCATGAAGCCGCACTGGCTGCTTGTGGGAATGGTCCTGTGGCATAGGACTGGAGCAAGCAGGGAGTCCTGCTCCACCACCAAGGAGTACCACAGACTGAGAGACTCCCCAGGATCGACCAGCTGATCATGATCGACTGGTTGGTGACCACTGTTCTAGACCAACTCTGTGTTTAACCAAGTATGCTGACGAGATTGGAGTCTTACAATGCTCAGATGTGGGGATTTTATTCATAGTGCTTATGAGCCATTAGACAAATTCACATCAGAAAACAAAAGTGTAAATCCCAGTTCTGATTGCAAGTGATAAGGATCTTACAAGAACTACCTGGTGAAGTTCTATGGCGTGTGTTACACAGGAAGTCAGACTGTGGGTCTACAGGTCAGCAACAGAATGGTGCAATAACCAAGGTTTGGTGGAGGCTTTTGTCCTAACCCTGAGTAATAGGTATTGAGGGCTGGAAGGTCAGTATTGATGGTTACTGGGTGAGTGCCCAGGGCTGGAACAGCAAGAGACTGCTCATCAGAATTTAACATGCGCTTGTTTTCTCAATTGATCCACATCCAAATCATCCTCATCTAGGTTTCTATGTGGGCCAGGAAAATGCACTACTTGGTCTGATTAAAGAGGACATAGATATGAATGTCCTCTGCCATCGATAGCAATCAGCCCAAATTACCTTCGCTATCTGGTCTTGTGCTCTTATATGCATATTGAGCAGAAAAGGCTGCAGAAATAACCTTGCCATTTTCCCCTTCAGGGAAACCCAGAGTGAATGAAATGTTAGGTGAACACTGCTCAAAGGAATTGACAGATCCAATGGAGAAAGAACCCATCCACCCTTACTAGACCTCTCAAGTATTTTCAACATGTTATATAGTAAATGGTATCAAAGACTGTGGACAGATAACAAATACGCATGGGCACGACCCTCCTTTTGTAAAGGACATGATCAACCACGGATACCAATGCTATTTCTGTGCCACCCCCAGGGCTGAAGCTAAACTGACAGAAGATCTAGATATTCTGCCATGATCCTCTCAATAAGATTCCTTAAAGAGGGGAAGTTTGAGAGGTGGTGGTAACTGGAGAGGTGTAAGATGTTGGTCCTGGGAAATTGCATATGTATGCCACCATTTTATTTGCTCAAGTGGAAAATAATTGTGCACTCAGATCTCTGCCAGGAGCAAGAAACATTTAACCTCTCAGGAACTACTAACCACATAAACACAATATTTTTATGTTTACTAGGGGGCTATGCCTCCTGCTCGCTATGCTTGCCAAGCCCCCTCTCTATGGGGGTAGGCATCCCTGGCTCTCCCCCTGGCTGCTGGGGAGGGCCAGGCCAAGGCATGGCAGCTCTAGACTGCCCCCTCCCCTCTGTGGGCTGCCAGGCCAAGGCTGGCTCAGCCCTGGCTCTCCCCCTCCTGGCTGCCGGGTAGAGCCTACGCCACACCAGCCCTGGCTTCATGCCCTTCCCCGTCCTGGCCGCCAGGGGGGTGGGCCAAGTCCATGGTTTGGCAGTGCCAGCTCCCCATGAGCACCAGGGAAAGGGGAGAGGGGAGGGAGGAGGCAGACAGGGTGTAAAGTGACATGATGTCGTCACACTGTTGTCCTGCAGGACATTTTGTATATATATATGGACACATGTTACACAACATACACACATTCACAGAATCAATCACTTGTGTTTCTTTCCCACAGTCAGCCCAATTAGGAGAACTAAACAACATGAATTTCTGAGCAAGTGGAAGAGTATTTTTGATGCATGTGGATCACGTATGCAATTTAAGGAACCACACAGAGATCTCTCCATTTGTGTTTTTTCAGATACTGGTACTTTTCAGTTTTCAAAGAATAGCATGTGTTCTGTAAAGAGCACCATTCTCCCTCACCCACAATAAAAAATCAGCAACAGTAGAGCGTCCCTGACAATTTTATGTAATCCACTTTCCTACAATACACAATGCAAAACCACCTCCCTCATCAGAGCTGCAGCGGTGACATTTAAGTGATCCACAGAGTCAGGGATTGCCTTGTGAATTCAAAGTCTCCTTTTCCCTATGAAGTTCCATTTACTTGTGATAGAACATCATTGGATATGTAAGATAATTTTTAAAGTAACAATTCTTAAACAACAGATACCTATCCTTGTAAACTAGATTAAACCATCACCTGCAATGTGGTTAATTTACAGGGAGTAATGAGCGAGTTGAGCTCCTTGCCATGCCCCAGCATGACCAAAACCTGGAGGGTTTACGTCTACAATTTGACCCCTGCTAAGGTCAATAACTAAGTAAATGGCTCCATTTTTTCCCTTGTTAGTACAACAGTATCATCAATTATGCTGTTAGCAGCAACATGCAGCCCCTTGGGACTGGGGATTTACCTGCTGCTACAAAGCAACAGAGCCTTTTTATTCAGTGTCTGTGCTCTGGAAAGGTGGAGTAAACACCATTGATTATAGACAGAAGGCCAGATACTCAGCTGCACCAAGGCAGTGTTTTAAAACAGAGCTGAGGAGAAAATGCAACACCTATGAAAAGCTGTCCATCTCTCTCAGTTCTAAGGGCTGTTTTGTCCTCTGGCTCATGCTAGGAATGCCCTGAACTCGCCTGGCTGCTACAGCTCCTTGGTGCTATTATGAAGCTGGGGATCAGAGATGAGACAGTAGTGTGGCTGGCTACACTGACTATGCTGTTTGGGGGTCAACTTACATTGAAAGTCCCCCAAGATAATGGATTAAACTAGATTTAAGGTAGCACAAAGCATCGTCACCAAGTCTAGGATATAGCTAAGGGAAACCAATGAGCAGAGCTCAAATTATTTAAATCAAACACAGGTTTTGCATCTCAACGGTTTATAGAAACTTAAGAAAAGACAAGAATAGGAAAAACTCTAGTGTCCAACAAATGTGTATAGTACAGGCAGTCCCCGGGTTACGTACAAGACAGGGACTGTAGGTTTGTTCTTAAGTTGAATCTGTATGTAAGTCAGAACTGGCGTACAGATTCAGCCGCGGTTGAAACTGATCAGTTTCAGCAGCGGCTG